TCATTCCGACGTGAATGGCAAATTAATTCTATGAATCCAATACAGGACTCAAAATTTAACATATAAAGTTTGATATTTTCAGCCTAAACTTCATAATTTTGACAATATTTATTTATCAAAAAACTATTCCAGGCCAATTAAAGGGCAGCCGGAAGACTCAGGGTTTTTCCCCGATTCGAGCAGTCTTGTAGTCCTTTTATAGCAATTAGACACTGATTTTTTTAAATCTTGAATTGAAATTGCTGTGAAAGTTTTATTCTTCAAAAACCATAAAAGATTCTATTCAAATCAATGTTAATCAACTTTGCAGGCCACAAGGTTGGTTTTTTCACGCAGGAAAAACGTTGAATTCTGTTATAACTTGTAAGCAGACAAGAGAATTTTATATAATCTTTTATCATGCTGCATATCATAGGAAATGGTCTACTTCCTTGCGTGCCGCTTAGCGTGCAGCTAGTAGCGCAATTTGATTTGAGTTTGTTTTTTGTTCCGACTTTCGAAAAAATAATTGAGCTCAGGGTGGTTTTTTCTTCAGACAAATTTCTACTTTTTATCTAGCCATTTTTGACAGATGTTTCTTACATCATTCAAAAAATATTGTTGTCTTGAGCTCAAATTGAAAAAGATATTTTACCTCTGCTATTTTTTGTTAAGTTATGGGGGTTTGAAGATTGCCGTTTTGGCCAGTTTGGGACAATTAACGCGCGATATATTTTACACTATTAACGCGTAAGCGTGTATTTAATCTGTCATAGAAAACGCTCCAAATCGGTTGAAGCACGTTATTGGCGGTAATTGCGTTGTTACTAGGAGCGAAATCTATCACTTTGTATTTTATATGGTTTGATTGCTTTAAAAACAATCCCAAATTTTAAAAAAAATCTTTTTGTTTTGAAAAATTCATTAATTGTTATAAAGCGAACACTGCTTCAGAGAACCTATAAGGCAGTTTGAACATTCAGGGCTTCGCCCTGATGCGAGCACTCTTGTCTCATATTAGCAACTTGTGTCTTATATCAAACTGATGAGTGCCGCATTAAACTGATTAATTATTTCAATTGCACATGCTAAGCGGTACACATGCAAGTCGCTACAACCTCTTAATAATCTTTTTGAAATTGATTGATATCAAACATGGTCTTAGTTTTGTCATGACCGGTTCGTAAATTTTCCTGCTTTCCACGCCATAGTTACCCCTGCTTTAGGGAAATTTAGTCACCTAATGACTTTGTACAGTTCATTTGGCTCAATAGTTACTTGGATCGCCATTAATATTTTTATAGATAAAAACACGGCCAATAGTTGTATTTTTGGGCCATTAATTTGAAAACTTTGCCATTATTCAAAAATTTTTATCAATTTGCAACCCTCAGTAACCAACGCCAACTATTTTGACTTAACTAGCTGCTGAGACGGAGTGGGGCATTTAACTAGGTAGCTTGGTTTCGTTAAACTTTTTACTTCGATGACACATTTATTTCGAAGTTATCTTTAAGTGATCTTTACGCGTATGCCGTGACCCAAATAACTGAAACGTTATAGGTCATTGACAAATCTTGTTAAGCTCGGGATTTTAATTGAAAAGTTTAAAGATATTCTTAACACCCAGACTCGAAGTTTTACCTTACCAGGCTCCCGTTTGTAGTTCCAGACGCAACTTTGAAAATATTTTTAGTTCATTGCAAATAACTTCATTTGGGTCAAACGGAACGTCTGCAAGATTCCAAAAGAAAGACAGAACGGGAACCACAATTTCGGCCGACACGTATTTGAGCCGAAAAGTCGAAAAATGAAAACCAACTTTTGGCTAAATTCTATGACCAGACAACTCTGGAATTAGAGACAAAACCTGAATCACACGCATTAGACTCTCGTGTAGAATGTAAGCGCCGTGGAGCTAACACTGGTTACTTTCCAATGTCATTTTTGGGATCTACTTAGCAACCCCCCCCCCCTTTCAAGAAAGGGGGAGGGGAGATTCTTTAGTAGATACAATAGGGGGGGGGGGGGGGCGGGATTGTTAAGTAGATGCCCAGGAATCTACTTAACAATCTCCCCCCCCCCTTTCAAGGAAGGGGGGAGATTCCTTAGTAGATACAACAGGTGGGGAAATTGTTAAGTAGATGCCCAGGAATCTACTTAACAATCTCCCCCCCCCCCCTTTCAAGGAAGGGGGGAGATTCCTTAGTAGATACAACAGGTGGGGAAATTGTTAAGTAGATCCATTTTGTGCAGTGTCAGTTTGCCCTTATTTGTTCATGCCGTCTGAATGTACCGTATGTTGATTTCCCTGTCGTCTCAAGTTCCTAGACAACGAGAGATCAAACTGGGGCTTAGAAGTATAGCTAAGTCGCCCTATTTGTGAATAATTGTTTGATAACAAAATATGTCGCGGTTTGTCGAATTGTATTAAGAGAGTTGTCTCTTTAGGTTAATAACTCAATAACTCAAATAAACCCTTATCACCGAACCCTGAATGTTTACGCGTATAAACAAATTTAGTCTAGTGTCCTAAAAAATTGCCGAGACTAAAAAGATTAAAACGGTCAGAAACGACTGATTAAGAGAGCAACAATTTGTTCACGCTACTGTTTGCTTAGCGGACCCAATTGCCTGAATATTTAAAATCTGTCTATCAAAAGTAAATTGACTGATTAGTTGCACCATCTTAGCCATTCAAATCAGTCGGCCTTCTGTTTGCAAGCCCAGTTTGCAAATTCTTAAAAGCTAAGCACCATCACCAACCGAATATCAAGGTTTGTGAATAATCTTTTTTTGCAACTTCAAAATGAGACCAAGTCAACATCCTCCCCTCCCTTTCATATACTTAAGAATGGCACAATGTGTGTTTTTTACTGATTTTGACAACATCAAAGAAAACTTGTCGGGATCAGGAGTGTTATCGGATCGCAGTCCTGTTGGTCGTGATTCAGATATCATAAACAATCAATAAGTTTAAGTTCTCCAAAGAAAAACTGGCATGTATTTCTTTTTGACTTACAACTGACTCACAACAGTCTATTCCGACTCACAACTGTCCATTCTGACTATCATCTGTCTAGGCAAGATGTCTGAATACTCGGCCTCGTCAGGTCAACGATGATCGTTTTTTCACTTGAACTTTTATTTATGCTGTACGATATTAACGAAGGGTACAGCATACTATTAAGATTAATCGATGGATATGTCGCATCTCGTTGAGTTTTTTTACTCTTTTTTTTTGCAGTGGTAGCTGTGGTGAGAACATTCTTTGTTACTTGCACAGCAGTCGGCTCTTATGATGGCACTTTAATTAGTCGATTCGGATTGGCTGAAAATTCCAGCTTTTGATCAAAGTTATCATCCTCCGTCCTTAATCGATTTAGGGGACAGGGCGATATAAACGTGATCGAATAAATATCCAAAAGGTCTAAATTTTATTTTTACCCACTCTTTAGGGAAATATCATGCCCTTAATTATATCAGGATCGAATATGTATAGCCTATGCAAAGTGAGAGATAGACTCAGGTTGTCAAAAAGACGGGAAAATGAATTGCGTTTCTGCAATTCATGATAAAAATGATACTGTAAGAGCTAATTTTGGAAATCAGAAAACTGCTGCCTAATGCCACCAGAGTGGTCGTCTGATAACTTCAGAGGTACAACGGACTCCACTTTATAAACAGTTCGGAACTTCAACAGACCAAAAAAATTGAACTTCCGTCAGCCAGCATTAAGGGGAAATACACACTTGGATAACCTAAAATTGAGCCATGAATCAAAATAGAAATACAACAAACTCAAGAACATTTTTTCAAAGAAAACATTTGCAATATTTCTTTGTCGCAATAATGCATACACTAAATTTATACAATTAATTGGTTAGAAAAGAAAAAACGTAAGAGGCATAGGAAAACAGTATTTAGTAAGTATTTTTTTCAAAGGGTTTCATAATAGTTTAGTGGCCGTCTTTCCTTTCGTGGCAGATGTTTAGAGGCCGTGCTTTTTGGCCACTCCAGAAAATAATCCGATATTCCAGCAAAAATAGGATATGCGAACAGCTGAATAGTAACTCAGAATAATTCGAACAACAATTTGCACCTCCATAGTTCTTGTTTTGCCTCAAAATTAGGATAATGCATGAGCACTCTATGAATCTCTTTTACTATCCCCCTTTGATCCCCAGTAACGAACTGCCATCCCTATCAGGGGCGGATCTAGGATTTTCTCGAGGGGGGGATTTACAAAAACAATTTGAAAATTTTTTCGTTTTTTTTTTGAGGTCGACCAAATTGGTTTTCCGAGCTCTCTCAAAGCACTACAGACTCTGTTTTGGTCAAAATTTCTGCGCCGCAGACAAAGTTTTGAAAAAACAGGCCAAAATAGGCGTTTTTAGGCACTTTTTGGAAAATTTTGCTGAAAAAAATCGCGTTTTTTCGGCACGCGCTCCCCCTTAAAATAGGTATATATTGGCCCCGATTGCGCTTTTATAAAAAAATGTAAGAGTCCGTCACCAAAAATGGATATCTCAAAATAGTACAAAGGGGTCGGCAGGGGGTCGAATCCCTGAAGGAAAGACGTCCCCCCCCCCCCTAAATCCGCCCCTGGATCCGCCCCTGAACTATTGCATCAATTAAGTTGAAAATGTTTATTGGTGTTCGCCTAACTGGCTTCTGGACATCCATGATTTATAGCAGAAAAAATTTCAAACACAAAATTTTTTACAAAGCTCCGATGACGACTGATATGGCTTCAGTATGATGCATAACTTAATAACTTAATCTCATGCGTTGATTTATTAAATTCGATTCTGCGAGACATGTCTGAAAAGAACTGTTTCTTTTTTCAGAAGCTGTTTTGAACCGAAAATTTGAACCAAAAATTTCTAGACAGTTTTCTCAGCAACTGAAACGGCTGGCATATCTATTTTTGTCTTAGTGGATGGCTGTAACAATGCTATCTGAATTATGATATTAGTCTTCGAATTCGATCTTAACCAGTAGCAAATTCAGACGTTTTAAAATGTCAAAATAAAACAGATCCCGGATCAAATCCTAATCTTTCAGCACGAACTTTATCAGAACACTTGTTTTAAAGTGCAAACTATAGGTCATTGAGACTATTTTAACCAGCAAATTCAATTTCAAACAAGGTTCAAAAAAGTGGATATTTTGAAATTTACTTTTCTAAATATCATTATTATTTAAGATGTATTTGTTATTGTCCTCAAAACACTAACTAGCTGGCCAAGGGCCTATTAATTTATTTTCAATTGTCATGAATAATAATCGATTTGATTTGCAATTCAGTAATTTTTGCAACTTATAGGAGGTCATTTTTCAATCTTTACACGTGTTGATTTTGAGGGAAAAAATTGTTCACGTTTTCTCAATTGTGTCAGCCTCTTAGGGATCAATTTTTGTCCTATAGACGGCCATTGAACTACATAACCAACTCTTTTTTTTCTAATTATTAGCTTTCTTCTATCATTTGAGGGGACTGTTTATTCTCTTTCTTTGTCCATCTAAATCCGGAACTTATTCTTTCCAGTGTTCATTATTTGCTGTCAAATCCACCAGAGCACGCCTCCTTTCCTCGTTATCCCTCAAAGATCCATAAAGTTCCCCAAATTGTCAAAGGTGAGAGAAAATTTCATTCGCAGGGGATGGCTGTTTTTTTTGCAAGCAACTTAATTTGTTTGATTTCGGTTTATTTATGACAAACGTTTTTTAAGCATTTTCTAAAAATTTTTGACCAAAAAAATAGTGTTTTTGACCAAAAACAAAGTTCAGCTTATTCATCCATAAATTTATTGCACACATTGTCGCTGGTAAAAGGGACCTTCAGAAAAATATTAAATTATTTGGTCAATAATGGATTTCGTGAAACAGTTCCAAGAAATCATCGAAACAATTTAGAAACTGGTGGCAAGCCAGAAACCTCAAACACATTTCTGCGGAAAAGTTTAAACCTCATAGAACATTTGACAACTTAACTTTTATCATTTTTTTCTCGGTGATTTGTAGCCACAACTATAATAAATTCAAATCTATTTGTTAATTTGATCGTTCTGCTTGCATATCTTCTGGTAGCCCTAGATACAATTGGATCGTAACTACTTTTTAAATTGAACTCTCACATGGCGTAAGTATCAGTTTGATGTTATAAATCACATAATGATTACGATATAGGGTCAAATATATATTATTTAAATAAATAAATCTAGGTTAAGGCAAGTAAAAATAGGGTACAAAGTATTGATTAGTGTTTCTAACAATTTGTACCCGCCCCTTGCGTGAAAACAGTCGTGTCGGCCATTACCTAGAAGAAATTGGAACAAATAGTGCAATCGCTTGTAGTTAGGGTTATTTAACTCCACCCTAGAAGTCGAAACCAGTTTAACCAAGGTATCGCTAAGCGTAGGAACAATAATCTAGATTTGTCTCCTATCTGGAAAAAATTCTGAACTCAATTTGAACTACAATAAACAAAGCCTAATTTCAAATAACTCTGCAACAATCTTTCCGATTCATTTGACTTTAATCTTGGATAAACTTTGGTTCACTTTTGGCTCACAAATTTATCCTAGGCTATCAAAGTCTGTCAAAACTTCCCGAATATTCTAGAACAACAGCGGAATCTAGAACTATGTCGTCATTTGTTCACGAGAAGTCGATGTTCTGGTGGCTGCTATTGTGGCAGGCGTTCGCTCTCACAGTGATGTCTATTGTCTTCTGGTACTTCAAGTCAAAACAGAGACTGCAGTTCTCAAAAAAGAACACGCCTTCAGTATTCATCACAGGTAAGTCAAATTGCTACATTTCCTAAATTCTTCATCTCTTTTTTTCATAGAAAAACTTGAAGGAAGTTTGATCAAGACAGCAAAAGAAAGCAAATAAACGTTTATCAATTATGTTTGCGGCTTCTCTGACCGTAACAGTAGTATATGCCGCAACTGTCAAAAAATTTTACTGCTCTTCCAAAAAACCCTATTTTGAAAAAAAAAAATGAATAAATCAGAATACCCAGCATACAATCAAACAGTGTACTAAATACGAATTTGTTCAGGTTGCGACAGTGGATTTGGCAAACAACTGGCTCTGCAGCTGGCGTCTGAGTCACCCGAGTGCAATGTGATCGCAGGCTGTCTCACCACCCAGGGCTGTGCCCAACTAGACTCTCTCCTTCTACCCACTCTACAAACAGTACAGGTTCGCCACTTCCTTTCATTTGTCTCCTCAAATTATTGCTACTTTTATTAACGATGTAGTACCAATAGGTCTTAATCAAGTACCTACAAACTCGAGATCTGAATTTAATCCTTGAGGTCTGAAGTGATCCAATTTTCGTCCGCTTTTCTTGCAAATGAGTGGTTTCAAACTTTTATATCTCTCATTTTTTGGGCTATCTGGCTTATACTTAAAAGATTTTGAACAATTTTTTTTTAAGAACCAGGCACGCAATTTTTATAGAATCAAAAACAAATGACGGCAAAAAGCAAACGAACGTTCCCAGTGGGCAAAACGTTAAACAGACTCACGTTATCTAACGTTAAATTACGTTAAATTAAGAGGGGGAGGGGTATTAGCGTTTCAAAACTAGTTCAATCAACTTAACCTTATACAACTTAACGTTAAATAGGGTTAAATTCGAACGTTAAATTCGAACGAAAGATAACGTTTTACACCTAGTTTAACTAGATTAAGGCTAAACCGCTACACGTCATTTAACGTCATTTAACGTTAAATAACGTGTAAACTTTCGAAGTTTTGCCCACTGGGTATAACTTGGAAGAACAAATTGAAATATTATGAAATAATATTTGAATTTGAAAAAAAAAAAATCGACATTGGACAATGAATTTGGGACCAAGTTAACATCCTCCCCCCAAAGCCGTTTGAGGGGGGGGGGGGAGATGTTAACTTGGTTCTGAGTTAGAAATTTTCAGCCAATCAGAATCGAGCATTTTACATGCAGCGCTTAGCAAATTTAATGCAAATTAAAGGCTGGGGTGGAAGATCTCAACTTGGTCTAAGGGGGGAGGGGGGATGTTAACTTGATCCTGAATTTGTTATTACTGACTATTTACTACCTAATTACTAATTTTTTTTATTGTGCGTTTCTATTTAGGTTGACGTCACTAGTGAAGAAAGTGTGCGCGAAGCGAAAAGACGGGTTGAGAAAATGCTGGTGAATGGGGAGGGGCTGTGGGGGTTGGTGAACAATGCGGGCGTTGCCTCCATTCCTGGTGCTACTGATTGGATGGACAAAAGAGACATCGTCGGGTGCTTAAACGTTAATATCATAGGTGAGTCCATTTCGCTCATTTTACTGTCAGCACTGGCATTAATTTTAATTTCCGCTCTAATTAATTTTCAAAATAAGCGGATCTAAGATTTTTTGAGATGGAGAGGGGGATTTTCAAGAGGGGGGTTTTCTTACCCAAGCTCATTTACGAGGTAACTCATTTTCCAAACAAAAGCACTACGTTTTCCGGAGAAAAAGCGCCAATTTTTTTAAATTATGTTTAAGCTATCACAAAATGTAATCCAACTGTCATTCTCGATCTCAGAAACTATTTTCTTTTTTTTTCACGTCGCTAAAAGACAAGCAAAAAAATCAAATGGTGATTTTGAGGATTTATTCAGTCGACTCTGACCTTTCTAGTTTACTAAGGAACCCCAATTTCTTTTTATTTGTCTTTTAACTTTGTTTTCCTCTAAAAAGCCTTACGCCTTTAACTTGGTTCTAAAATATAAAGCCTTTAATTTGGTTCTAATACTGACAATGTCCTGTCGAAACCTAAATCCCAAACCTCGACTTGGGTCCTCCCAATTTTGCAGTTCGTTCAACCTGAAACCTGATTTTAATTCGCCAGATTATTGTATTGGGTCAAAGCGAACGCTTGAATCGGAGATTATTGTGGACTCAAGAACTTTAAGGGTTTTTGCAACACTAATCTCGATCCTTTTGCACGCTCGAACACAAGCTGCCTATTCGTGCCTGAAAATTACGATCGTTTGAAGCAACCACGTTTCCAGGAATTTTAATCTTCTAAAATTAGCTTCAAATTTAGGGGAACCTAGGAGAAATTGACCGGTCAACCTGCTCAAAATAGATACCTTATCAGTTCGTTGAATGTGCATTAGAAACTGGTCTATGAAATTCAGAGGCGTTTTCTTAGAATTTAGAAATCAACCTAATTCTCCGAATTGCTATGTTCGGTATTTGACATGGCTCAAAGGTTACCGACTGAACTTGCACCGATTCTGTATCATTCAAATATAACTTAGGCCTTAAACTTAAGTTTACAACCTTGGAAGGTTGTTAACCTCTGAACTTAACCAATCTGGTTATTGAATTGCCAAACTTATTTATAACGGGCATTCCAAGTTAAGACTTTTGAACAAACAAGTTGACAATTTGGAGTGACAGTGACTAATTCGACTGCATGTAAGAAGTCTCCGCTCTGAAGAACTCTTTTGAAGCGATTTGATTCGAAACCTGAACGAGTATAGTAGTTATGATGTAAGCGATAGGCACACGACGTAATTATCTCGGCTCTCATTAACAATCCCCAAAGACAATGGCATCTAGCAGAACTAGGTAACTAGGTAAACCATGTGCAAATTTTGAAGCAAACTCAATCATTTTTGCAGTGGGGAGAATACTTTTTTAAAATCCAGCAGCAAAAATACGACTGTTTTAGAAAACGGCAAACAACATGTGCTTTTTAGGGCTAATGGACGTGACGAGACAGTTCCTGCCTCTGGTTAAGAAGGCGAAGGGGAGGATAGTGAATGTGAGCAGCATCAACGGCAGATTCGGATTCGGAAACTCCATCTACTGTGCATCCAAGTTCGCCGTAGAAGGATTCTCCGACTCAATCAGGTAGCTCGTCTACAAATACATTTTCAATCAATTTAATCGAATTTCTCAGCTCACAGATCCTCAGGTCACCGCAATTAATGATTTATACAGTTGTGAAACACAGTCAATAGTAACTACTTGACAGGCTTAAAATATTAAAATTTATTGATTGAGTTTCATTTTTGGTGAAGGTATATTTTTGGAAAAATACAAAACATTTTTAAAAGACCCTGATGCTTGAATGCTGATTGAATCCCTTTTCTGACTTCAGACGTGAGTTAGCCTCTTGGGGAGTGCAGGTGGCTGTGATTGAGCCAGGGTTCTTCCGCACCAGTCTGACCAACAATGACGATGACCGGATAGTGGAGAGCTTCCTCAACAGGTTCAACCAGCTGGAAAGGGACAACAGAGCCCTCTACCTCGCTTATGGATCAAAGTTCGCAGAGAAAAGTAAGAAAATTTAAAAATTGGTCAAATCTTGATAAATATATTTCAAATCTGTATAAATCAACTTTTTAACACTTAATCGAAAACTACATAATTGGCTCTCATAGACTTTCTTGCCCTCAGACACTCAAATAGAACTTTCAAATGAGACATTTCTTCGATCTCTTCTAAAATTGAAACCAACGCTCATGGGAATCTTTTGTCTTCAGATGCCAAATTGCTACGTGAACACTTGTCTGCTCAACGACTCAACACAAACCTGCGGTTGGTCACAAACAAAATGCAGCACGCGCTCTTCTCGAAGCTGCCCCGCACCAGATACGCATGCGGACCCGATGCCAAATTTTTCTGGATACCAATGGCAATGCTGCCAACTGCAATCAGCGACTGGATCATCGGACTGGCTCTCAACAAAAGTTGTTGTCCGGAAGGCGAATTGTGGGCATTATAATTGCATACGATGGAAGTACATGCCATCAGCTTTTGCTAAAACTATTTCGAAAAAACATCGAAGCTTTAATTTCAAAAACTCTCAAACCAGGCAATTAAATTGGTAGCTTTCTGCAATAAATTTGTTGCAACAGTATTTCATGTTCACCTGCTAGTAGTGGCATTAATTATCAAATTCAAAGCTTTTTTAATAAAAAAAATATCAATATAACAAGCAGTCTTTTCAAATACCACGAAGTTTTAGCTTGAACTTACAGTTATAAATGCGGCGTACTTGCGTAGAGCAACTCCAGGATTTTTTGGACTTAGGCACACTGAAACTAAAGATTATATAGCTTCGCAAAAGTTTTTGTAATACATGACAGTTAGAACTTAATTTAGCTATTGAAACATTAGCTCTTCAATCACAATTGATTAGATTTTGGTTCGATTTAAAATAACACAAGGTGATTTCTATATCATTAACGAAACCAGGGGCGGATTAAGTGGGGGGATTCGGGTACTATTTTGAGATATCCATATTTGGTGACGGCCCTAAAATTTTCTAAAGGTGACTTTGTCGCCAATAATTAATAATTTCTATGGGGGAGCGCGCTCCGAAAAGCGCAAACTTTTGGTCAAAAGTTTCCGAAAAGTGACTAAATACGTCTTTTTGGCCTGTTTTTTCAAGATTTTGCGCGCAGCGCAGGAAAATTTGACCAGAACAAGGTCTTTGGCTTCGGGAGAGCTCGGAAAATATAAAATCAATTTGGTCGACCGAAAATTTTTTGAAAATTTGCCCCTCCCTTGAGAAAGTCTTAGCTCTGGCCTCTGAACGAAACGAATGCTAAACAAATCAAGGATAAAAGCTGCTAAATCGGCCGATCAAACATTTAGGAAATCTTACAATGAAAAAATTTACAAGCAGTTTGAACAAGCTAAAAATCAAACGCTATTAGGCAGGCAAGAAATTTTTGTTTCGATCATTTGAAAAAAGGGAGAAATTGGTGTTCGGGAGTGTTTTAGGTTTTTCTTTTTCTTTATGTTTGCCTGGGTTGAGTGATGTATCATATTTCAGTCATGATTCGAACGGCATTTAAAAATTTCCAAAAAACGACCAACTATCAAGAAAAACAGGTTTAAATTTTTTAATTTTTATTAGTCTTGACTCGCGGAAAAAATGCGAGCGAGCAGACTTACAATAGCCTAGAAGTTTTTGTGGCCTAAAATAACTAAGTAACGTTGTTATTTTGTGTTACTTTTTTTGTTTTCTTGAATTTTTTCTGACAAAAAAGGTGGCCCAATTTGCCTATTTTACTTTGAATTCGAATATTGTTAAGTTTCTTTTTTTTTCAGATCCTTTTATCACATAACGCAGAAAAACAAACGTAACTAATTTGAAAAAAATATATTTCGAACCACAAGTTTTTCCCGTCTCAAGCAGTTGTGTTACCTCTATGCCAAATGCGCCGGATAGTTGATTGAGTTTAAATTTATACATACCAATCGTTAACAAGGCCGAAAATACTTAAAAACCATTCATGCCAAAAAACCAAAAAACGTTCCAAAGAAAATTCTAATTACCCCCTTCCAAAAGAACACACACGCACACAAAACTTTTTTCAATAATCAAAAGACCCATTAGGAGGCCACTAAGTTGCGATAAAATAAGCTGAAACGCATTCAACCAAAAAAGAAAAATTTTCATGAGAAAAATTTTAAAAACTTGAGTTAATAAAATTTGATACAAAATAAAAAGCAAGTTTCGATTAGGCCGGATATTCAAAATGCTAAATGCTCAAAATGACGCACAAACAATTCGGCCAAAAACAATTCAGCCAATTTGAAATTCAGACAATTCAGCCAAAAATATACAGACCAGTCAGCCTAAGCCAATCAGCCAGTTTTACAAAACACTAGATTGGAAAGAAAAAAAACCCAGAATTGGAGCTATTTCTTGGTTTAAGGTCGCCGGTGGGCGCGCTACGAGCGCGTCGCCGCTTTGCGGCGATAACCGGCTCTAAGTTTTTCGTATAGAGTCCTACCCTCTGTAGGCAAGCTCGCAACACGTTGGCGCGACTGCGGCGGTCACTACTATTGGCTGAATTGTCTCTGGCTGAATTGTCTGCATATTTTTGGCTGAATTGTCTGAATTTCAAATCGGGATTTAATTTGGAGACTCAACCGTAAAAAATGGCTAATTTAATAACCAGAACTGTGCAGTTGATCCGAAGTGAGCTCAATAAGAAAAGAAATTTGAAACAACAACATTTTAACACTTAATGTGAACGAAATGCCTCCCGGGACAAGTCACTTCGTTCAATAAAGTCAAAGAGACCATTAAAACTAAAAATCAATGCCATTTTGATTTCGCACCAGATGTACTGTTCTAAATAACAGAAGGCGAATTTTATTAACTTGACAAACTATTTCGAGTGAACAATTCAATTCGCAAAAAAAACAAATTTAAGCTGAAAAAATTTTAGCTAGAAGAAAATGAAATAAAAAGTAACACGACCGACCTGTAAGAATGGAAATTCATTTTTTTCGATAAAAAGTAGAATAGACAATTTTAAGAAGAACAGACATTTGTTCGAGATATTAGAACCAAATTAGAACAAATTCCCTCCCAAAAAATTTCAACACCAGGATCTAGAAACCTTCACTCAGAGATTTTCATGCTTTCCGGATGCAAGAAAAACAGCAAAACATTGAGAAATTTCTACGAATGATTAAAAAATGTAAGAATTTTGAAAAATACATTTATTTTTTGCGCTCGGATTCTTTTCTCCGAGCTCTCGTTACAGGTGCTTGGATTGTGCCATAATTGGTTGCAGTGTTTTCCGGAATTTTCATTTGATTTTTCTTACAAAAAACACCACTAACACAAATGCAAATCTGAACTTGGTGTCCCCAAAAGAAAATAAAAAGAGAATACAAACATAGAATAGCCCTGGAAAAAATTAAAACTTGGCACAGAATTACAGCTGGACATAGCAATCACAAGCAAAAAAACTGCAAAAACTAATAAAATTTAACTCGCCAAAATGACAAAAAAAACTTAACGAATTAGGCTATCGAACTAAATTTGCCACTTCAAAGCCAAACTCATTACCAACGGTTCACTGAGACATGGCAACTTAGTTGCTTCCCACATGCTTGAGTAATAAACGCCAGGCAACAATATGTGTCATTTAATTGACGGATCTAGCTCATGCTCCTAGGACATGCTTGACTGCCAAAAACCGGTCAGCAATGATCCAGCTAATATTTAGCGGACATAACTCAAATGAGCATAAAAGCTGTGCAGTTGATCTGAAGAACAGAACTCACATAAGAAAACAGGCGCAGCTGGGGTAAACAAAGCTGCGTAGACTGTCTACTATTCAAAACATTGCCCATAGTAACCCACTTAAAAAACAAACATATGCTTGACTACTTTTTTTGCATGCACTTGAAATGAAGACGACGATTAACGCACCTCAGTTAATCAAAAAATCTTGCAGTGAAATGTTCGATTACGGCTGAAAAAATTGACTGACTACATGAAAGTAGAACACACTAAGCACTTAAGGTTGATAGTGTAATATAGCTTTTACCAAATTTATGGGGCAACGTTTTAATTTTTGGAAATAGTTCTGACCTTCAAGCTGAAACTAAATTAGAACTAGTTCTTTGAATTGGCGAGTTTGCTTTTTTCTCGGCTGTTATATATTCTTTTTGACTGAGAATTTGCATGTCAACTCGCTGCTAATGAAAAATTATTTTGAAGTTTAGAGCTTCAAGTTATATTAAAAAAAACTGACCGCTGAAAAAGCGCAATCATTTTGGTTTGCTCTTTTAACAGTTCAAATGTTATTAATAAAGTTCGTTTGCATTTTCAACTCCACATCACTGTTTCAAGGTCAGAATTATTTCGGAAATTTAAGACGTTGTCCGGTAAATTTGTCAAAAGCTATAAGTTACTTGCAAATAATGCCCTGCAAACTGCAAATACATAACTAAGCTTTGCAGTGAACTGTGCAGCTTAGAATAAAATGATTTCTATAGCATGATTTAACTCCAGTGTTTACTTCTGTGTTAAATAGCATGCAAATCCAAACCAGGATACCAGAATACTGTTCAGGTAGCACAAAATGTTCCGATCATAGTCTTAAAAAAAATTTTCTTTCAAATTAGTGTCGTTTGTTTCAGCGCGGTGTGATAAAAAGATCTGAAGAAAAAAACTACGACTTAGACATATTCGACAGTCATAGTGAAACAAGCAAACTGGACAACACTTTTGGATAAAAAATGATCAGAAATACAAAAAAAATCATTAAAAAAATACAGTTTTTGTTTTTTGCAGGAATTTAGTTGAGTTTAATTCTCAAAATGGCGTTGAAAACTCCAAAATTTATTTATACTTGAGTAGAACTAACAGTGAGCATGAATAAGCTATTGTATCGGCCTAAGTTAATCATAAATACGCATGCTCGCTCGCTTTACTCGCTCGAAATTAGACGAAAACTCAAAAAATTCAAACCAAATTTTTCTTGAAAATGGAAATAAGTTTTGAAAATTCTAAATGCTCAAATTACAATTTAAAATGATATTCACCCGACCCATTAGAATGATTTTTTATGGTACCTGTTTTCGCGCGGTAAACAAAAAAAGCTGAAACACTCGAATACAAACGATTGGAACATTTAATTTTAGATCTAGGAAACTTTGACATTGCACTAATACAGCTCAAATATTACAGAAATTCTTCAAATTTGTTTTTATTTTTTTCCATCAATCACTATTCGCTACAAAACTCCTCCGGAATGATTAATATCAAAACCTCCTTCACTGGAATGAAGCGACAAGAAACCTACAATTTCTGTCCATTTCATGCAAAAATAAATAAAGAACCAGAAATTCAAATTCAAATTTTTGAGTTCAAATTCAAATTTTTTTTCGAGAATTAACTTAATGGGAATACCCAAGTCTTTTTGTCTCGAAAAAAAACTATTCAAAATGCAACAATTGTCCAGGACATTTGGTTTTCAGACGAAACTGTCCCGGAAATTGCCGCACTAGTAACTGACCTGATTAATTTAGTAAGCTCTCAGTAGAAAGTAATAATTCGATAAGATCACGTAACTCTGCAATTAGGGCAGAAACTTCTTTCAGCAGCTTACTAGAGGCAAAAATAACATAGGACTCAAATCAT